CACCCTGCGAAGGGTGTTCGGCATCTTGTGCTTACTTCCTTGCGTACGGATGACGGCTGCGTATGAATTAACTGATTTTCTGGTGCTTACACTTCCAGAGACAGTTGTAAGCACCGTGTAACTGCCTCGAGGGTGCTTGACCATTTTAGCACACCGTTCGATTATCCCCTTTGCGCGGAGTGCGGGTTCTCGACCCCGCACAACATAATCTACTCGACCACCATTCACGGTTACCGACAAAAATAAAAACCAAAGGCAAAGAAAAATGCGGTAACCTGGTTGCAGAGCTCACGAAGTGATCGGCTTGTTTTACAACATCTCTGCCAAGCGACGAAAACCCAACCCCGATGGAAAACACCGGGGGGGGTGGCTTGTTTTACAACGTCGTTGACAAGCGACGAAAACCCAACTCCGTCGATAGACAGAAAGGGGGGCCGGGGGGGGGAGTATTTGAGAGAAAATGGCCCAAACGGCGTGTGCATGTGAGATTGAGGGCGGGATGGTTTTCCCGTTTGAAAATAGTCATAGTCGCCATTCCTGCTCGCGGAATATGAGCATGAGGACCGCAATTCTACGGGGTAAATCATGCTGGGAGGGATCCTACAATAGCACTCACTGCCCGGTAGCGGAGAACCTGCGCGTGGTGGTGACACATGTCCCAGATTCTGGCACAAGCTCTAGATTGCCCCCAGACCGGCGGTTAACCTGCTTCCGTCCTGTTTCCAGTATTTCATTCTACTTCTGGCTTTCATCTATCAATTTCATATTTGACGTGATTTTCGACCGTTGCAAAATGGCGCCTCCACGCGATTCAAAGACCGTCCGTACCATCAGATTGATCAGTTCGAACAGTACACCGAGCGGAGGTGGGACTGTCATTTTTTGACGAGGTTATCCGTAACCCTAAGCCATCGTTTCCCGCTCCCTGCCGCATGCCCTCTTCTGCTTTGCCGCAGACGTGCTAACAACGTGCTCTTCGCGTTCCACGACGTCGACAGCCACATGTACGTTGCGAAAAGCGCCTGCACATTCAATGCTGGCATGTCCTACTTGCCGGTGAACGTGCCGCCTCTCAACAACTACGAGGGTCTGAGCGATCGCTAGGTGAGCTGGACTTGTGTTGCGCGCAAATTGCTGTTGCCATACGTTTTCGCTGGGGTTCCTGGGGTTTTATCTAGCCGCTGATATCGCGTGGACTGACTCACGGTTTGTTGGCGCCCATCGTGAACCTTCGCCGCGTCAGGAGCTCCGATGACGCCGCAGGTTTACTGTTGGCGGTAGACTGAGGGGCGGGGGCCCACGAGGGCAGACATGTGATGTTTCTCTTCCGCACTAGACACAAACATGTTCTAGATCAACCTTGGAAGTAGGAGGCACTAGTTCGTGCGAATTTCAAACCAAAGAAGACGTTATTGCAAGTCGCTCGTTTGTCCTGGGTTGCGATATCGGTAGATATCGGTAGTGGCGTGTGTGAAACTGCTGGCGATGCTGCTTGCGCTGTTGTCGATGACCCCGCTCTAGACCTGGGCGAACAAGCGGCAATACTCGCAACAGTCCATTCGAGATGGGCAACAAGGAACTCTTGGACCTAGCCCTCCGCTTTGGCACTAGTGATTGTGTCTTGCTGTGTGATGGTCGCGCCTGGCGAGACAAGCGGTGTTCGTGAGAAACGTCCTGTTGGGATGGGTGGCGAGGAAGTCATCGAGCTAGCCCTCCGCTATGTGAGAGTCATGCTGACGTACGTTGTGGTCGCCCAACACGGCCTCTCGATTGGCGTGCGGGTCCCAAATGTTGCTCGTCGAGGTTGTTCCTGTTGGCGTCACTTACCCGTGTTCCCCCATCCTGTTTCTAGGAGGTCGCTGCAGAGCCCGCTCTTGGTTTTCAGGAACAAACGCTTGTCGTGCACAACGTACCTTTCGAGATAGGTGGCGACGACAGGTGACTCACCTGTCGTCGCCACCCATCTCGAATGGTACGTTGTGTAGCACCACAAGCGTTTGTCCATGTTACCCCGGATTGAGCTCGACAGCGACGTCCTAATACTGAGACGGGGGGGGCACGAATACGTGACGCCAACAGGAGCAGCCGCTACATTCAGCAGTAGCGCAAGGCCATTAAAGCAGTATGTGACCGCCTGTTGAGGCCTTCCGCAATATTTGTGCCCCTGGTTAATGTGGACACAACTTGACCATCATAGGAAAACGACCGACAACCCAAACAAGTGCTGGGAGTTGAAAAACACTACAGTAGTGGATGAATCAGGGGGGCTTGGGGGAAGAAGAGTGCGAGCAGGACAAACAGAAACTATTTGATTCGATTCTCGGGTCAAGCAGTCAACTCCCCCAGCCCACTGTTCGTAAGGTGCATACGAATGTAAGGAACCCCGGTGTGCTGCCTTGGTTCGTCGAAAGGGGACTCATCTCGCCATGACAGATCTTCGCGCCTATGGTTCATGTCCTCCACCACTCTTCGCTTTGAGCCATCCGCACCCCCTCCTCTCCCCTTCTCCGGGTGCGTTTCGACTGGTGGCCCGTTTTGAATCGTGGCCGGTCGTCCGGGGTGTTGTCCGCCGCTCCGAAAGGCGCTCAAGCTATTTGATATGCTTCTCCT